GGCTCCATCATTATCACATAAATTGATGTCGGCACCGTTGTTTAGTAACAGTTGTACCGTGCTATCATGTCCATTTTGACAAGCTATATATAGAGAACTGGATGCATTCGTGATGCATAAATTGATGTCGGCACCATTGTCAAGTAACAGTTGTACCGTGCTATTATGTCCATTTTCACAAGCTATATAAAGAGGACTGGCTCCATCATTTTCACATAAATTGATGTCGGGACCGTTGCTCAGTAACAGTTGTACCGTGCTATCATGTCCATTTTGACAAGCTATATAAAGAGGACTGGCTCCATTCTTTTTACATAAATTGATGTCGCTTCCATTGTTCAATAAGCACATAATGGTTTTATTACGTCTATCTCCCTCGTTTGTATCCATTCCAGCCTCTTTTAAGTGATCTTCATGATTTGCAGCAGCCAATGGTAATGGAATCCATGTGTCATCAGTTGTGAACGCGTTTACGTCAGCACCAAGTCCTACTAATTCCTCTATTATTGAAAAATTATGAAATACAGAAGCAATATGAATTGGTAAAAAATTACCCCATGTTTCCATCAATGATGTTTTTTTATATTCCTCGCTGAGAAAATTTAAGAGATCTGTCTTACCATTTGCACATACGGCAGAAAAGATATGGTAATCTTTTAACGTTGTTTGATTGATTTTGTTCAAGAAAAATGAAGAAATGCCATTATGACAAAATATAATGAATCCTGTCAAAGGACATATTTCATCTTTCCAATCAAGGAAACAAAGTCTAGACAAACCAGAGCCCTCAAACGAGCTTGAAAATTCCGATCTATCTATCTCACACTTAATTCTTACAAGAATCTTTGCAAGTGCATCTTCTTTTTCCTTAAAGGATTTGATGACATTCTCTTTCCTTAAACATGGATTAAGTAAAACATCTACAAGATTTTCTGTTTGCATGTCAATGATAAATCTGTCCACAAGATCACTGATGTAATCTTCAGGCAGGTAAACAGTGAATGGATCACGATTTTTCAAATCTGTATTGTCTTCTATTCTCACCCGACGTCTCAGAAAACCACTGTCTGCGTACTGTATTGTCTCTTGTGGACAATTGATACCAAACACCAGAGTCGTTATCTCCATAATAAAGTCGTGAAGGAATTGGAAAACATTCCCGACACGTCTGACATAAGATCCGTTCAGTTCATCTAGAGAATCTTTAATGGCCGAAACATGTGTGTTTTCTTGTAGGTTACATACTTTCAAAATGACTTTATACTTTTGTTTAGCGTTTTTTTCTTTTTCTAAAGAATATACTTTTAAATCATTATTAAATACCACGACCAAAAGTAAGGCGCAATATTTCTGTCTGTCTAAGGTCTTGTAACGTTCAATTTCTTGTTTTATGAACTGAAACGGGTTTTTAAAGATGCTGGCTACTTTTTCTACGTTTTTGCTACTGCTACTCAGTTCACAAGAAAGCACTTTACAAAGCAAAGGAAAATATGCTTCAGTTTTGAGTATTTCACTTAAGTCCTCTTGAGATATATCCTGATGTTGGCAGTATGTATTTAAGATATTCCTTTTTTCTTCCTCTGACAACTTCCATTCGTTGCTGTCTATCTCTACTATGTTGGAGTCTTTTATCAGAATCCCTTCTAATCTCTTGTCACTAATTACGCTTCTTCTACATGACACCAATAATTTAACCTTCTCTAAGCAAGTCGCTATTGTTTTCTCATATGTTTTCCATGAATTATATGAAATTTCATCTAATGTTTCCTTACCAATAGGATCATTTAGAACAAACAGTACCTGATTATCCGACAAGAATCCAAGAGAATATATTTCTTTTATTTCTTTGACCTCGTCGACAGGTCTGATAATCCATCCGTGTTTTTCTTTAAACTTTAGCGCGATGTGTTGAATAATAGCCGTTTTCCCGCATCCAGAGTTTCCGACAACCGTGACAAGGTTTTGATTTTTAATTTTTTCTTCTACAAGTTCACTTGCTTTTGTTGGCACAAATCGGCTGTTATTCTCTTGCCAGGTTTTCAAAATATCTTCATTTAGAGTTGAACCTATAAATGCTAAAAATATTTATGATTTTTAAAATGTTAATACGTTTATGCATATCATCTTGTCAAAATTCCGTTTTTATAGTATAGTTAGAAACACAATATTACATTTTAGGAAACTATATTTTTATATTTTTTAACAAGAAAAAATTGGAGGAAATTAATTTGCAAGTAATTAAGACATTAGCATTACTTTACATATTGTCTGAATATGTCACCTGCTGTTTGAAAGCTTACTGAGTGTTTATTTACCTTATAGTGTACTTATTCAGAAATCCTGACACAGACCTTACCTTCATCACTCAGTAACCCTTTCACTTTCTTCTGACTTGACTCTTGTGTTGTAATATCAGTCTTTGAATTCTGGGATGGTTTACTCTTTATAGAAACAAAGTCAATATCTACAAGTAAATTATTTCTCTTAAAAAAAAATATTGATGGTAAACCATCCTGTCGGTATAAAATATCTAGGTACGGTTTCACTTTAGTAAATAACCATGCTAATTTATGTAGAAGAGTAAAGTGAATTCAACTACTGATGCCTCGATTACTTTAGAAACAATTAGACAGTCAGTTATGACATTATGTGATAAATACTTATGGAAATGAAAATGCATTAAACATAGACATCTTAAAATACATTTCTCCTCTGACCTCTATTCCAATCATGTCATATCAGTTGTTAAGTTAATATGTGTTATTTTTGCCCCTTTACACTATCAATTAAAATTAACCTGTTTTGAATTTGCCTATGCACGGTTTCGTTTAAGGTACATTGGCATTTTGATTAACGGGATAACTCATAGTGACAAAAATGTTCATTATTCCTGTATGAATTAGCCGAGCTGGAGTGTCTTTTTGTGCAATTGTGCCCCACAAGCTATGATATTATTGTATTAATTATGGAGTAAATTTCTTTTGGGAAATCAATAAGGTCCAAGCAACATTTATAGAGGATGTTTGATGAACCTTACTTTTTCGACATGCATTAAGGTAATTAACTTGCGACTAGGACGAAAGGTACATAATAAAAAAAAAATGAGCGAGAGTTTCATGTATCAGCATGTACCATTGACATACAAGAGTACTTTTATTGTACAAACGATGTACTTTATATTAAATTTAACTGTGCTTTTAGTTTACTCTTTTTATTTTTCATTTCTGTGCCTAGTTTTATTTTTTAAATCATTAAGGAACTCCAGTAACGACAGAATCCGACTTTCCCTGATTGTATTTCTTCCATATCTAATTTAAATATGTTGTTAACTTATGGGAATGCCCAATACCTTATAAAGCACCTTACTCTCGTCCATTAACTTAAGGGGTCCCGACCCTCTGCTATCAAATTTCACTCAGAAAATTTAATATTTCTAATTTTTATTTTCATGAACAACAATAACATTAGAGCCAAATAGAAAATAGTTTTATGTAAGAAGTGCAGCCTATTTTTTCAGAAATGATTTTTATGTCAGATCATGATATGAAGAAATTTCAACATAGAGAACAGAAACAGTAACGATTTATTATCATAACATTTAAATTGAAACATGAGTTGTATATGAAAATAATACTTAGCATAATACCTATTAAAATCATGTCAGAAAACATCATGAAGCGATGCTTTCTAAGTCAGAAAATTACAATGTTGTATGCGGTTGTAAGAAAAAAAAAATACATCTGTGAGGAGGAGTTATCTTTCTTCTTAAGATTTCTTCATGTGAAAAAATGTCATACTTATAAAAATTCTGTATTAAGTACTTGAATAATTAAACCATTATTAAAATAGTCTTTAGAAATATACAACTTATTCTATTTAAAATGCTTTTGAAGTAGGATTTAAATGTTTTATTGTTAAATATAATAAAAACAATTAGTCTGAAATTGGCAAAAGAAATAGAAAGTAATGTTTCCATCACATGTCAAATTTCATCGAATTGACTACTCAGAGGTCTAAATTATGGAACTCTGATTAAGAAAACTGTGAGTAGTATTCATGTTTTGTACTCTGACTGTCTCTGAGAGTTATCTATCATATCAGAGGGTCGTTACCCCTTAAAGAGTCCGTATCTATTAGAAATATTGTATTAGATTTTGAGCTTATCTCCTTTAATTACATAGGCGTCGAAACCAGAGGTTTGGGGGATGGGGTTCAAAGCTCCCTACCTCTTTTTCAAAAGTGCTGAGAATAAGCATTGAACAATGCACCTCCCGACTTTTCATAGACAAGATGCAGTTTAGGTTTTGAAAAAAAATAGGGAAAGTGGTGGAGTTTGAAAAAAAATAGTACTGAAAGGCCCCCCCCCACACACACAACAGAATAAGGGTTTTCTTGTTTGGATAAGGAGTATTTTGTTTTGCTTGTCAGGTTTTTTCGTCGCTTTAAACACTGAGCCCCCCCCCCCCCCATTTCAATTTCCTTCCGACCAAACCAATAAATTAAATAACATTTAATTGAAATTCAAGTACAAAATTTATATAAATGATTCTTGTCCATTCCAATACACCTATCATATATATGGTAATATTTTCAATGACATAAGTATAAGTATGCACCATACATCAATCGCCTCATGCTTATGACTACTACAATGGTGAATATGCAGTGTCCGATTTTTTTTTCAGTCAATTTAACGACTAACCTCCAATGCACTGTGTATTTTCATTATTCTGTATTAAAGCAGTCGTTTCTGATTCCGTTTCGGCATCTTGACCATTCATGGAATTATTTTTACTTTGACAACTTATATCTTCTAAAGAAAGCATGTTGTCATCTATTAATGAAATAAAAAATAAATAATTTCTGTTTTTTTAAAGATTTATATAAAAATATGCATCAAGAGAAATGCTTTTCAACGGCATTTAAAGCATTTGCTGGTTTGTTGTCCATTTATTATTATTTAATCGTACATATGAAAGTACATGAACTTAAATATAACTCTACAGGGAATAATTAAAAAGAAAATTACCTCCACTTTTTTCCTTAAAGAAAAAACGATAACATTTCCGTTTCCAAACAAAACCTGCGACGATCAATATAATGACAAGTACACATAGTACCACGGGTATCGCTATCCAGTCTTCATCACCAGACGTATCTCCATGACTGGTAGACGTTGTAATGGATAGAGATACATTAAGTGTTGTAGTGACAGTTGTAGAGAGGAAGTCACTAAAACAAAAATTAATTTTTAATTAAAAATAGTAATTTTGTGTAATTCTGTAATATATATTTGAAGTTACAGTCTACATTAAATCAACAACCCTTTAAACAATTACCTGCTTAAAGTAGGACAGCGGGGATCAGCTAGATAACATCTGTTTCGTTTATTGATTTGGATGCAATCTGGAACTAAATAAACAAAACATAATTGTAAGATTTTAAAAGCAGACGTACGTATTTGAAAAAAAGGTAATTCCTTTACAAAAATTAAATGAATCCATCTACATGTAAAAAAAAACATTAAAAACTTGACAAAAATTACTTATGCAATAGACTAGAAAATTGAAATTCAATTGATTATGGTCAAGATCTAGTGAATGAAAGGTGCCTACAGATTTATAAAATAAAAAAAAGATTCCTTTAATGAAGGATATGGAGATGGCGAACAGTATTCAAGCTCAAAGTCCAAAAACAATTCAAAGAGCAATCACGGACCCCCGAAACATCAGAGATGGTATCAGGTGCCATGCATGGAGAAGTGAGCATCCCCTGCCGACCGATCACAGAATCGCAGAATTTATGCAAAATCTTTTGCGTGAAAAGAAGAAAACACTTGTTGTGGCCTTCAAATCGACATTTAGATAAATCGACGACGTATTGTCAATTAATAATGATAATGTCCATTCCTACGTCGATACGATATATCCTGTTGAACATGAGACATAAAATACCACGAAGTCCGGCACTTCTGCTTCATACTTGGATATTTTACTTGAAAAAGACACAAATGGTAATCTAACTTCCAAGTTATATGATAAACGTAATGACTTTAACTTTTCTATCGTAAACGTCCCTTACTTATGCAGCAATATACCTTCATTACCTGCATACGGAGTATATATATATCAGTTGATTCGATACGAAAGAGCATGCTCTACGTTCGAAAAATTTCTTAAATGTGGTATATTATTGACAAGCAATTTGATGAAACAAGAATATTAACAGTCTCGTTTAAAGTCACCCTTTCGTAAGTTCTGTGGTCGATACAATGACCTTGTCAGCAAATTTATCATTGAGTCGAATAGAGGTTTTTCATACTAATTTTTAGTCCATTTGATACACTGACTTAACGATAGATTTTTAAGTTATTTCCCGATCATAACAAGAAGCACATAGTGTGTGTGTGACCAGTCAGCAGGAGATGCTCACTCCTCCATGGCATCAGATCCCACCTCCGATGTTTTGGAGGTCTGTGTTTGCTCTGCTCCTAATTTTAATTGCTTTATAAACTTTGAAATTGAGTACTGTTCATTATCTCCGTATCATTTGTTTAAATGATATCAAATTAGATATAGGTATCAGGATTACCTTCTTTACGATTTCAAATTCCATGATTTTTTTTTTTATTTTTTACATAATTCTATTAGTTTTGTAATGTACGTGAAAAAAAAATGAAATATATTTTTACGTCATAGTTAATCTAGCACCAAAAAGGTAGTATAAAGTCATTCACTGGATGTTTATCTTAAGAAAAGACGAAAAAACGAAGTTGTATAAACGGGCTTTCAGAAAATATATATCAAGACCACATAGTTCTAAAGATATACAAGACTAATTCTCTACCAGATATACCCCTCTGTATTATGTGTTTTTTTTTATTTCTTTTTTTTAATAAATCAGTATCACGCTATTACCATGGTATTCAGATAATTGGTACTCTTGAAAATATTTCATTAAGCACCTAAGTATAAAAGGTACATCACTTTGTAAATAAAAACAAAAATGCACTTCAATAATCAAAAGTTTCAGATTGCATATATGAACATCTATGTAACCAAATTTTTTTGCATAGTGATCAAACGAATCAAAGATCTAATTTCAATTAAATTGAAATGTGCCTTTTTCTAAATTTTTAGTGAAATAAAAAGAAAAATGTGAAATAGTGATTGATTATCGGGTTAAAAGAGAAATTAATTTAGTTCATTTTAACTATTGATTTCAAACCTAAAAAATTATTTTTAGGTTTGAATTTCATAAGGAAAAATATCAAATCAACATTTTTTTTATTGGATACGAACATTTCAAACCTAGAAATTTTATTTTTAGGTTTGACTTTTACAGGGAAAACATATCAAATCAACATATCTTCTTATTGGATACTAACATTTATTTGTCAGTTTCGCGAACCAGTCAACCTTCCTAAATTGATTCAGATATTATTATTCTTTACAGCTATAGCATACAAGTAAATTACTAGTACTCAATATTCGATGAAGAGGTTATAATAACACGAATGAGCGTAAAAACCATATCGAATCCACGTGTATCATTGATATCAAAAACTTACTTTTGCAATCACACGAGCCAGTCCAAATTCATAAGTTGACTTACACATGATTGATTTTGGAAAAGTAAGGTAACAGTCACTTAACATATATAATATAGTTGGTTTTGTGCAGATACTTGATGAGTGCTACACCCATTCTTGTCATAATCATCAAGCCCGTCAATATTATATTTGATAGCTATTACATAACTATGTTTTCTTAATAAAAGCTCCAAATACAAGTGAATATACACTTACATTCAAACATCCGTTTAGACTGGTAATACGTCTTGGGACAGCCTTCGGTGAAATGAAGACATGATTGGTTGTTTAAATAACCGGAATGCAGAACCATGCAATTTCCTGTTTAATATTTTAATGTGGGATAAACATTTAATTCATGATGAATATGAATTTCATGAAAATATATAATATTTATGACTCATTTTGCTGTAAAAAATTAAACCCCTTGAAATATTTTAAGAGATTTTAGAAGTTGGTAAGCTAAATATTTCCCTAGATTTTGTGTTGATGTTGATATACCAAAAAGAAAGTTTTAAAGAACATGTAAGTTATACTAGACCAATATGCCACTTTTCATTCTTAAAGAAACAGAAGCACTTAAAGCAGATATTTTTATTCACCTTTCTGGACTAAGTAGCTGGTTTGGTAACACAACTCTACAAGCTGAGAAAAGTCTGACAATGGTAGACAATGATATGTGTTTTCAAACTTGTCAATTCCTGATGAGCAATTAAGTCTCTTAGAAGCATCCTCAACTTTAGACAGATTCATTGGACAACTGTCAACTGGTAAAACAGCTCTTTCAGATTGACCTGTTGGCATCTAAAAATTCAAATAACCATCTTTACTGTAATTTCCTTATTTTTTGCGAGTACGTAATATCAAGAAATGACTCACATATGTCAAAATGCGAGAGGGGGTTGGAATAGGTGATTTCACATCGATCTCAGTATACCATCAAAATAAAATCGATTGATTTTTTTTTCTTTTTTTGCAAGCGGTGTTTCTCGGGAAATCACTCAATAATTAATACCCCGCATATATTGCCTTAAGGAATGAGAAGTCAATATAATACAATACAATAACAGAGAAACAATAAAAATGAACTTGTAAGAAGAAAAAAACTCAGAAAGGTGATATCAGGGAACATGACATATCTTAAGGACTCTATTAGGTCAATATCCTATGACGTTGCTGGTATGTTTAAAATGTTAAAATGGGTAATAGTGATGAATGAATAAAAATGTATTAATAAGCAAAACATATGAAAAATTAAAGAAGAAACGTATTTTTTTTTAACTTCGATTGAACAAAAACTACAAGCTTATTATTTACTAAATACCCTACGTTGTGCAAAATAGCTTGGAAGGATTTATGCCAACTTTGAAAAGATTGATCAGTCAAAAATATAAACAATGAAATTTTTTTTTTTATTTTATCTGCTTATGCTATTATTATTATGTTAATATTATCATAGTATTTCGTGTCAGAAGTTCTTTTTCTCGACTAAAATTATCTCTAAAATAAATTTATAATCATTTTGCTGATGGAATGTATATGTAGCTTGATGGATACAGACGCAGGTAGAGTCGCATCTTCTGCAATGGTGACACATAGCTTCGATGAGGTTGTTTTTCCGACCTCTGACGGAAAGACTCTAGATAATGTGTTTGTATATATATTACTGTTTCCAGCGTGTGATATAACTCTTTCCAGGGTGATTCAGCATTCTGAAGAGTTCATATTTTTTTTTACATTTAGGAACTAATATATAAAAAGTTATTTAAAAATGTTATGTTAATCTTAAAACAAAATACTTCAGTGCTTTGACATATACAGGAGTCATACCCTAGGAGTGTTACATGTATGTACTTTTTCAAAGTTTTAATATTTTCCCGTGGCAATTAGCTCTTTTAGCTACCGTACTTGCAACCACACTGCTTCGTTTTTAAAGAATATTGTTGTTCCCATTTGTAATCTCCATTTTACCTTAGGGTTCGTTATTTGAAGAATAATTGGTATTTAAACAATGTCAGCTTACAACCTGGTAGTGGTGCACCGATGTGCTTTGTTTGATTCCTGATACAGCAATACTTTCTCAATGTTATGGAAAGGACTAAGATGAAATACATACACATTCAGAATACATAGTCCATGAGAAAAAAATGAAGAACAGAGTTTCAGAGATGTGACCCCGTATACACATTGTGTTACATGTACATTCATGAAGTTTATCTAATCCTTTGAAGTGATGCTGTGCTGCTGATGTCACATGTGGTCTCTCGTATTTTTGCGAACATTGGGAGTTCCAGGTTAATGATTCATGTTTTATAGGTTGTGCTGTGCATAACATTAAAACCTTTTGCAATTGAAGACTGCGGTATACCTGCTTCCAGTTGCCCATTTTTTCCTTTTTGTGCTATGCAACTTTCAGATGCAGCAGTTTTCTAAAGAGTCAATTTTTAGATAAGACCAGATTCAAAATATCAAGAACACCTGCTTTTGATAGCCAATTTGTGTCTGAAATAATTGCATCAGAAACAACAAATGAAAATTGAGATGAAACTTTTTTACGAAAGATGGTAATTTCAGGTGTTTTTGTCTGTACCGACCGTGATATTTGAACAATAGCTGTAAAGTTAACCATTGCTTTAAAAATAATGCATTTTACTTGAATGGGTCATATCCTTCTAAAAAAGAAATTATGAAAAAAATATGGAACATTTTTCAGTGTATTGTTCAAACTACGAGTTTCTTTTTTTAAAGAAAGTATATTAATTTTAATCCGTGACCTTTTTTATACTGAGTAGCTTCGACACTTAGGATATACAGTGTTCTTGTTTTTAGTGCTTAAATATGTATAGTTATCCAAAAATGTATAGTAAGCTATCTTAATAGATATAGAAATCTATTTAATATGATTTAAATTACATAGTTAAAAATTACACATTGCACACAGAGGCCAAATATTAATTTTATTTATATATTGTAGAATGATACACATGTCTCTGTTCCTCCGTATTTAGAATATGATAGTTATCTACGTTTTGATGACTTATTATGCAATAACATTCAATTCATTGATAAAAGAAATACAATGGACAAAATGGAAGATACGCCATTCTTAATCTCTACAACTGGAACAGTCAGTGGAAAAATACGTTATGTATTCTCCATGTCCTTTGTTCTAATGAATTATTACACCACAGGAGATACAATCAAACATTTGGAATTGAACGATCGTTGAAAAGAAGATGGGCGTATTTGGCGTGTAATCTGCAGGAATAATTTGTACGAAATATTTATGGTTTAAATGTCCATGATTTGGTTGACTGGACATAGCTGGTCAGATTTTACAAACGCAACCATACAATTTTTTTCATTTAGTTTAAAATACCTTATCAGATTTTAACATTTATGACCTCTTTACTAAGAGATACAATAAAATAGTAATGTTTTTTTTTTTTTAAAAAATAAGCACCTATAAGATTAAAGGCATATTTGATAAGCGAACATGTAAATCATAGAATTTGATTTCGAAATTGATTTCGCTCTCGAACCAAACTGAACCAGAATATAACTTATTCAAAATTTTGATACATCAGTACATAACATGATACTGACAAAATATTTGCTTGTTTATATTTAGAAAAATAGAAATAATAAACGCGCATGCGAGTATCAAACTAAACATTTTTCACATTGAATGAACTGAACAGGTAGCCGATATTACTGAGCTATCACTGCTACATATACAGTTCGGTTTTAAAAGGATAAAAACTAGAAGTATCACATTTATGCAGTTGGAATTCTGTTGCAAATAATTTTGTGGTCTGTGGGTCTTCTCTCGATTTTTCTTTGCAAATGTATTTACAAATTCGTTCTTTGAATAAAAATGAACACATATAACGCTTTAAAATCATAGAGCGAAGACCCAGATATATAAATATATTTTAAGAAAAATATCTTTTAAAAAGTACCAATTTTTAGAATTGATTGATTGATTAATGTTTTACGCCGAATCGGCAATATTTCAGTCATATATCGGCGATCCATTTTGCAGGAATATTCAAGTTATTTTTAGCAAATCAAAATTCTTTTTCGGGAAATATTTTCCTTTCCTATTACACAGGAACATGATCAATAAAAAATGTTCTTTATTCTTTTCCCTCGCAAATAAATAGTATGATATGAAAAGGCCATAGTCATTTTTAGTTGATAAATAAATATGTATTTAATTTTTTTCAGCAAAATCAAAACTTCGAAATATCCATACATGTATTTATATAAAAGCACATTTCGTTTCTATTATTATCAACATGCAGCTGGTCTTAGATAAAGAATGAATTAATATGAAAGTCTCGGACAGTCAGTACAATTGTCCTTTTTTCAATCTATACCGGGTCTGCTGAATACTTGTGTCACACATTTGGTATTAAATCATGAGCATCGAAACTATTGTTACGTATTGTAAAGTCACCGAAATGTTTAACTATGAGACATTTTAAATAGCATGTCTGATTTCTTGGGTCTGTTGTATGTTAACTTATCGTAAACAGATCCAGTTAAAGTGAACTGGAATAACTCCATCATATGTTGTTAAAATTTCTCTCATTTATCCTGATGACATTAAACCTGCATTTGAATCTTTATAATTACCGTCAGTTCGACTTTAATAAATATCTCGTCCTTTTTTAAAAAAAAGAATTCAACATTTTTTTCTTGTCATATAAATGGTTTTTCTATCGAAATGAAGTGCAGAACCCATGCATACAATATAGGCAATTTTGACGTATATGATGTTTATCATACTAGTCAAAGTTGCCAGTGTAGTTGAACAATGCAAATAATTAAATTGACAAACGCATTGCATATTCATGCATTTCATTCAAAATCTTCAATATTCATATATTTCATTCTTTTTAATATTATTATCATTAAGAACAAAAATGATATTTGAACTATCATATATATTTTGGATTCCGAAACCCAATAAGAATCTATAGAAACAAAGATACATAACAGGTTCAGTAAATGTGCAACAGCCTCTGTCTTTACTCCTTAGCTTTCATAACTTTTGTTGCTATGTGTCCCAGGGTGTTTATGTCTTCTAGGTTATTCGATATAAGATATTCAATAGTATGGTTATTTTACGTAATAAATTTTGAAACAGGAGATGCAATTACAAACATAAAAAACAAAATGGAAGGTTAAAAGTAATTTCAGTCTTTTTTCTGGTGAGCATTTTGTGCATTCTTTTGGATGAGAGAACGACCTTGAAGTAATAAAATATTTTTGTTAATTTTTTAAAGAATATAACACCTTTGGAAGATACAAGAAAAATTCCACTCAAATACATAAATGGTATCTGAGTAAAAATGCTGATAATGATTTCTTTCAAGCAGTGCTTTATACAATTATTGTACACCGAATATTAGAAATACCTACATCTTATTAAACCTTAAACAATCTTCACTATGTTATACCATCAAACAATGTCATAAAACTAAATGTGGTTAACAATAACACACAATAACACCTTTTATTACTGTGGGTTTATTTTCGATGTAATAGAAAATAGGTATTTGTCATTCATCCGTGAAGATATTTAGAAATGTTTTAATGGCTTTTCAAAATAACGCATTGTAATAAAATTGCGATCGATTTTAATTTATCATAATGTAAATCTGTAACTGATTGTGATAATATTCTTGCTCATAAAATTCAGGTGATACTTATCCATAATTTAGAAATTTAGAAATCAAAGAGAATTTTAAAAATACTTACAGATTCTAAGAAAATGAACAATGAAGAAAACATCCAGATCATGGCTATTTAAATTTACAAATTTTCTGGGAATATTGTTAATCAATGTTCATCTGTAACAGAATATACATGTTTATGGATCAGACGCCTATAAAGAATTTAAACTCGGCATTAACGATGTTTAAATTTAAGACAAAGTTAATACTAGGCACAATTCACAGTTCCAATTGTACTGGGGAATGTTTTACAGCTCTATTAATGCATAATTATTGCTTTTGTATTTAGGCATGTAGTGTAAAAAGTCAAATAATGTTGATAGCAAAGATAGAGCACTGCAAGAAAAGATATATATATCAGACGTCTATTATTTTTTTTAGAGCGGCAATAATGGTTTTTTTTTATCTATAAGATCATTTGGCAATCCGGCATTTACATTACCCATTGTACTACATAAATATTTTTTAACGTCTTTTAAGCGTATTGATCGTCATCAAATTAATTGATTAAGGTTCATAGTCAATTGAAGTGATTCAAGAGATAAAATTATTTTTTAAACAGATCCTCATAGATTGGCAAACTGTTTTTGAAATCTGCGTATCCCCTACAACAATACGATTTGAAA